GCTGGGACTGTAGGTGCCTGCCACCATGCCTGGCTAATTTTTGTATTTTTAGTATATACAGGGTTTCACCATATTGGTCAGGCTGGTCTCGAACTCCTGACCTCAGGCAATCCTTCTGCCTCAGCCTCCCAAAGTGCTAGGATTACAGGCGTGAGCCATGGTGCCCGGCCTACAGTCAGCCTTCTATCCTGTACATGTGCAGCTAACTATTTTAAAAGACTTAAATAGGTAATAGTCTTTTTTTTTTTTTGAAACAGGGTCTCCATCAACCAGGCTACAGTGCAATGGTGCAATCACAGCCCCCTGCAGCCTGGATCTCCAAGGCTCAAGAGATCCTCTTAACCTCAGCCTCCCAAGTAGCTGAGATTACAGGCGTGCATCATGCCCAGTTAATTCTTGTATTATTATTATTTTTTTTAATAGAGACAGGGTCCCACTATGTTATGTTGCCCAGGCTGATCTCAAATTCCTGGGCTCAGGCAATCCTCCTGCCTTGCCCACCCAAAGTGCTGGGATTACATGTATGGGCCATCAAACCCAGCCTAATGTACTCCTCTTAAGTTAAAAATTAAATAAGGCTTTTAGTATGCTAGCTCTAAAACTATAATATTTTTCTTTACATTATGAATTTACCAGTACTAAAGTAAAGAATAAGATGAGTGAAAGAAGTTAGTGTTTAACTGGACTAAAGAACATTAATTACCCTGAGTTTTCCTTGAGTAGACAGGTCTCTAATTGCTACCTGTCTTATTATAGTTGAATGATGAAATATATAGACATTTGAACAAAATTAAGATCTAAGTTTAACTTGATATTTTCTTCACTCTCTAAAATTAGGCAAACTTAAGCATTGTACTCTATAGTAACACAAGAAGACAACTGATGAGGGTGCAATAAAGCCTAATGACATTCCACTCAGAGGTTCTCCTTTCGCACAAACTGGTAAACAGAGAATGGTGGCAATTATAATTCAATAATCCTTGGGTACAATTCTAACAAGAGTTCTAAACATAGATTAAAAAGTCATAAATCTTGTTTTTATACGTCTACATTTAAATTTATAGCAAACACATTTAAAATGTGCCTTCTTATGGCCACATTACACATACGTGCCTTTTAGCATTACAGCTACTTACACCAGTACTGCTCTATCACCCAGGCTGGAATGCAGTGGCGTGATCTCGGCTCACTGCAACCTCCGCCTCCCAGGTTCAAGTGATTCTCCTGCCTCAGCCTCCCAAGTAGCTGGGATTACAGGTGTGTACCACCATACCCAGCTAATTTTTGTACTTTTAGGAGAGACAAGGTTTCACCATGTTAGGCTGGTCTTGAACTCCTGACCTCATGATCTGCCTGCCTCGGCCTCTCAAAGTACTGAGATTACAAGCATGAGCCACCATATCAGCCTAAGTAATGTATATGACCTGGTATATATATATATATATATAACTCAAGAAAAGATTTAAAAAATTTTTAAAAACCAGCATTTAATCCCAAAGCACTGATATTTTCTCTTCTATTCCATTATTTTAAAATGCTTATTTTTGATTATCCATCAAATTGATTTCACACCCCTCACAAGGGTCATGACTTATATACTGAAAAACACAGGCTGGGCACGGGTGACTCACACCTGTAATCCCAGCACTTTGGGAGGCCAAGGTGGGTGGATCACAACGTCAGAAGATCGAGACCATCCTGGCTAACATGGTAAAATCCCATCTCTACTAAAAATGCAAAAAATTAGCCCCGCATGGTGGCGGGTGCCTGTAGTCTCAGCTACTCGGAGGCTGAGGCAGGAGAATAGTGTGAACCCGGGCAGTGGAGCTTGCAGTAAGCCAAGATCGTACCACTGCACTCCAGCCTGGGCAACAGAGCGAGACTCCGTTTCAAAACAAAACAAAAAAAAGACAGAGGTTTTTCATCATAATTAAATTTCCACAAACTTCCCCAATCACAAGTATTGTAAGTGGAAGTAAAAAATCACATTTTACAGATCTCGAACTTGTCTTCAACATTTAGTTCATCATCTTCAAAAAATAGCTCCCCTGCTAAACTCATTAGCTATATGATCTATCCAAGTAGCAACAAGATGGCCAGGCCATGGCAATCCTCTTCCCATTTTCCCTCACCACTCAGGGCTCAACAGCATGGTGAAGCTCAGGTGGGGGTAGGGGATGGAGAGCACAACGGCTACTTTCCCCCAGTACAACATGGCATCTGAAGCTTGATAGGAGAGCAGAACTGGTGAGACCTGAGGGAAGGGTCCAGGGCCTGTATTCAGTCAGAATCACTGCTGGAAGAGGAGGAGAAATGCTTGCTATGCTTGTGGTGCTTGTGCATCTTTTTATGAGCTTTCTTTATCTTCTTCTGTATCTTCTTGTCCACTATCACTGCTGGTCTGACCATGCCAGGAGCCAAAGGATTCACAGGAGGCATTCCAGGGGCAGGTGGTAGGTATGGAGGAGGGTAGGGACCCGAGTGTTGGCATCCTGGATACCCTGGCTGTGGCACAGGATGAGGGGCCAACCTGGGGGGAAAGCCAAATTGCCCTGTGGAGCTCCTGGGGGAGGAGGACAGGGACCCGGGGGAAAGGGTGGGTTGATAGGTGGTGGGTGGGCAGGATTGGAACCTACAGGGCACCCGATGTTGGGGGGATATGGATTTGGCCCTGGCTTCCCGGTATTGGGATTCCGCATGTTTAGGTGTGTCCTCCAGCCTTTCCACCACCGCCTGGGCTTGATGCATCCTCAAGAGCTTCTTAACTAGTTCCACCTCCTGTCTGCTCTCTCATCTTCATCATGCAAAAATTAGACTTTCCGTGTTACTTCTGCCTTACTCAAGTATTCAAAGTGGTCCACAGACTACTAGGCTCAGCTCTGAGACTAGAGGCCAGAGTAATGGTAAGGAATCCACTAAATGTGCAAACATTGCAGATAGCGTGTAAAATAGTTCAAACATACATATGATGACAACTACTTATTTGCCAAAGTTATATATGTCACTTAATAAAATACAAATGCATTTCCAAGTATCATGGAATTTACAGGAACATTCTGACACCATCCTGAACAGGCCAACTTCATCGCCTACTGACACCCAACAGACACCCTCTGCTCCTGACAAGGTAATCTTACCTACACACATAAAAGTTTCACACTAACCTTCAATCCTACTACTCTATTTCTCCTAGCCTGGAACACCCTTCCCTTCTCTCTACTTATGCAAATCTTACTTACCTGGCAAAGCACAATGGCTCATGCCTGTAATTCCAGCATTTGGGGAGGCCAAGGCAGGAAGACACTTGAGCCCAGGACTTCAAGACACCCTGGCCCGCCTCTTCTCTATAAAAAATAAATAATTAGCTGGGCATGGTGGCACATACTTGTAGTCCCAGTTACTTGGTGGAGCTGACGTGGGAAGATCGCATGAGCCCAGGTGGCTGAGGCTGCAGCGAGCTATGATCATGCCACTGCACTCCAGCACAGGTGACACAGCGAGGCCGCGTCTCAAGCCACTAAAAACAGGCCTTACTTCACCATGAAGGCATGCCTTCACATCCCTTCCCTGTCTTCCTATAGATTTGTGATCTATAGATGTCATGTGACAGCATCATAAGAATAATTGTGTTGAATGTCCTGTTGTAAAAAAATAAGATAAAAAAATAAGAGTACTTTGGAAGTTTCAAGGTTTTATTTTTTGAATAGCTTTAGGTAAACATCATGAATAGTAAAACTGGCTGCTACCTCAAATGAGATGTCAATTTTTAGGGATGCCCTATCTGGAAAACACTTTTTCAGGAAATGCAGACCTTGGAATATGTCACCCTCAGTAGTAGAGTCTTCAAAACAATCTTTTATTCAGAGCTGATTTACACATTAACAATGATTCATTTCTCTGTTTTTGAAGTTATATGAAGTTACCTGGCTTCAGTGTATATAAGCTGGAAAAATACCAAATACATAAAGGTGACAGTCAAATTAGACTGTTGGAGACATTTTAAATTATTTGAAAATACATTAACATTTTCTGCTACACACTCTTAAAGCTCTCCTTAGCCATCACTGGTGGTGGAACACACCTGTGTGAGCTACAGACAAACTTCTTAGGATCACTTCAAGTTTATGAGCTTTAAAATCATTTAAAGAACAATTCCAGGCCAACACGGAATCAAAGTAGTTTCTAGGCACAGTTTTTTCCTTAAAACAATATTTAAAGCCGTGAGTGAGATTCTGCAATTATAGAGGCAGTAGGAATAAAGAGAAAACAAAAACCAAAAATAAAGCCGTGAGAAATGTCAGGATGTAGTAGGGGGAAAAAACTTTAGAATGAGTGACCTCAGCTGTAACTAAGTAACTGCTAATATTTATTTAGCCCCCACTTCATATCCAAGCATTACTCTAAATCTTTTATGTGAATTATTTCGTTTAACCCACGCACCACCTATTAAGTAGATATTATTATTATCCCCATTTCACAGTTCAGACACTGAGGTTTTCTGAAAGTTACCAAGTCCAAGATTACAAGAAAACAGTAGGGCAGGGACTCACACACCACCTGCCACCTGGAAGTATTAAGTCCTTGCTCCTAACTACTACTTCACTGATCTGGCTTTATGACTTTGTAAGTCATATACCCACCTGGGCCTCAGTTTCTTCATCTGTATAAACAACGCAACGAATGCTACAGTACAGCTCCTTCCAGCTCTGCCTAGCGTCGTTATCATCAACCTTACAATCTACCTGAGCGTCAACAAGCCAGTGTCATCCTTTCTTTTAAGTGAATTGTACTCAAACAGCATTTACAATGCACCTACTAGGCGTACGGCCTTGTGCTGCGCGAGCGCCCAAGCCCAACTCCCTCACGGTCTCTGCTCCCGCCCCTGCGCCAGCAGGCTCCCTCTTTCCCCACAACTCTCCGAGACCTGCGGGGGTCCTTTTTCCCTCCGGACACACAGAAGCCTCCGCCCACCCCCAGCTCTGCTCCCTGGGCCCACTCACCCTTCTGGTGATCTCTGCGGCCAGGCGCCGCGGGACCCCGCGTCTCCGCTGCCCCGTCCCCCACGGGGGTCGTGTGGTGAGCGCCCGTCCGCGAGCGTTCGGCGACTCTGCCTTTCGCCATGGCAGCTGCAAGGAAGCTGAAAGAAGCGGTGCGGTGCCGCGCCCCCTAAACAACAAAATTCTATCGCAGGCTCCTTACTACGCCGAAGCGCCACGGCCAGATCCACTTCCGGTGCGACCGCCCCACCCGGCACGACCTCAACCTAGCTAGCACAGCGACGCCCTGCAAACACCCGCAGCACCCGCCCCAGGCTAAACCCCGCCCCGTGCCGCCCCCGAGCCTCGCGCGCTCGTGCCGGCCCAGTAACCGCGAGACAAGTCAGGGTCCTGGACCGCCCCTTTCAGTGCCCCGCCCCACCTACGGGAAAGAGGTAGTCACATGGCGCCGGGGTGAGAGCATGCGCAGTCGCGGCACCCAGGTCACCCGGCTGCGGCTCCCCGGCCCTGGCGTCCAAAGCTCAGCCTTAATTACCCGGAAGTGCGGTACCCGGGACGTCAAACCTTTTGTCCAGGCCGCCGGAAGTGCCTGTGATTAGTCGGCATTTCGCGGCTGAGGCTGATTCAGCCCATTACGTCAGTTCCGCCGCTGCTGTCCTCAATTTGGAGGCGCCAGAGTGCTTGGTCTAAATATGGTGGAAAATACAAAGGCTGAGCAAAACCTGCCTGAGTTTCAGGAAACTAAGGCTCAGAGAGGGCTACGTAAAACCTGTGAAGGTCACAGGATGGCAAAAATGGGCTTAGACTCCAGGTTGTCTTGTTCCCAAAGCTAACCGCTTTGCATTACCTGCTGCCCTCCCCGCCTTACTACTAAACCCAAGTCAGCTCTACATTTAGCTCATTCGTAAACTAAGCGGAAACATGCCTTTTACACAGGTACTTTTTCTGCTTCTACTCCTCAGAGCACATTCAGCTTACTCACTGTGGTTACCTCTTGAAAGTAACTTCGAGGCCAGGCGCGGTGGTTCACGCCTGTAATTCCAGCACTTTGGGAGGCCAAGGCCGGTGAATCTTCTGAGGTGAAGAGTTGGAGACCGGCCTGGCCAACATGGTGAAACCCTGTCTCTACTAATAATACAAAAATTAGGCCAGGTGCAGTGGCTCATGCTTGTAATCCCAGCACTTTGGGAGGCCAAGGCGGGCAGATCACCTGAAGTCGGGAGTTCGAGACCAGCTTGGCCACGTCTCTACTAAAAATGCAAGAAATTGGCCAGGCGGCGTCATGGTTCAAGCCTGTAATCCCAGCACTTTGGGAGGCCAAGGCGGGCGGATCACCTGAGGTAAGGAGATCAGGACCAGCCTGGCCAACATGGTGAAACCACGTCTCCATTGAAAATACAAAAAAATTAGCCGGGCGTGGTGGTGGACGCCTGTAATCCCAGCTACTCGGGAGGCTGAGGTAGGAGAATTGCTTGAACCCGGGAGGCGGAGGTTGCAGTGAGCCGACATTGCGCCACTGCACTCCAGCCTGGGCGACAGAGCGAGACTCCATCTCAAAAAAAAAAAAAAAAAAAAAAAAAAAAAAAAATTCCCTTTTTAAAAAAAAAAAAAAAAAAAAAAAAAAGAATAAAATACCTAGGAATACAGCTAACCAGGGTGGGAGGTGAAAGATCTCTACAATGAGAATTACAAAACACTGATGAAGGAAATTAGAAACAATACAAACAAATGGAAAAATATTCCATGCTCATGATCATGGACAGGAAGAATCGATATTGTTAAAATGGCCAAACTGTCCAAAGCAATTTACAGATTCAATACAGATTCAATGCTATATCTATCAAACAGCTAATGACATTTTTCTTTTTCTTTCTTTTCTTTTTTTTTTTTTTGGTGGCGGGGGGGATAGAGTCTCACTCTATTGTCCAGGCTGGAGTGCAGTGGCACAATCTTGGCTCACTGCAACCTCTGCCTCTCAGGCTCAAGAGATTCTCCTGCCTCAGCCTCCTGAGTAGCTAGGATTACAGGCACCCGCCACTGTTCCCAGCTAATTTTTGTATTTGTAGTAGAGACAGGGTTTCACCAGGTTGGCCAGCCTCCCAAAGGAGGCTGAAGCCGGCAGATCACTTAAGGTCGAAAGTTCAAAAATTCAAATTTTCACAGAATTAGAAAAATACAGGCAGGCACGGTGGCTCACACCTGTAATCCCAGCAATTTGGGAGGCCAAGGTGGGCAGATCACTTGAGGTCAACAGTTCGAAACCAGCCTGGCCAACATGGTGAAACCCTATCTCTACTAAAAATACAAAACAATTAACCAGGTGTGGTGGTGGGTGCCTGTAATCCCAGCTACTGGAGAGGCTGAGGCAGGAGAACTGATTGAACCCAGGAGGTGGAGGTTGCAGTGAGCTGAGATTGCACCACTGCACTCCAGCCTGGGGCGACACAGCGAGACTCCATCTCAAAAAAAAAGAAAAAGAGTAAAAGACATTCTACAGTTCATTTGTAACCAAAACAGAGCCCAAATAGCCAAAACAATCCAAAGCCAAAACAACTTCAAACCAAACTACAAGATTACAGTAACCAAGACAGCATGGTACTGGTACCATAGACCAATGGAATAGATTAGACACACAGACCAATGGAACAGATTAGAAAACCCAAAAATAAAGCCACACGCCTACAACCATCTGATCTTCAACAAAGCCAACAATAACAAGGAATGGGGAAAGGACACCCTATTCCATAAATGGCACTGGTGTAACTAGCTAGACATAGACAGAAGATTGAAACTATATCCCTTCCTTACACCATATACAAAAATAAACTCAAGATAGATTAAAGACTGAAATGTAAAGCCCCAAAACTATAAAAACTGAGAAGAAAACCTAGGAAATACCATTCTGGATGTGGACCCAGCAAAGACTTCATGATGTCGACTCCAAAAGCAATTGCAACAAAAATAAAAATTGACAAGTAGGACCTAATTAAACTAAAGAGCTGCACAGAAAAATCAATGATCAACAGAGTAAACAGAGAAGCTACAAACTGGGAGAAAATATTTGCAAACTATGCTTCTGACAGAAGTGTAATATTCAGAATCTATAAGAAACTTAAATCAACAAGCAAAACCCAAGGAAACCCATTAAATAATGGACAAGGGTTAATTTGTGCAGTGGTAATAGAAAAAAAAGGAAAAAGATGGGCAAAGGACCTGAATAGACACTTCTCAGAAGAAGACATACATGTGTGGCTAGGCACCGTGGCTCATGCCTATAATCCCAGCACTTTGGGAGACTGAGGCAGGCAGATCACCTAAGGTCGGGAGTTCCAGACCAGCCTAGTCAACATGGCTAATCCCCAACTCTTAGTAAAGTACAAATATTAGTCAGATGTGGTGGCACACACCTGTAATCCCAGCTACTCAGGAGGCTGAGGCAAAAGAATCACTTGAACCTGGCAGGCGGAGGTTGCAGTGAGCCAAGATCATGCCACTGCATTCCAGACTGGGTGACAGAGGAAGACTCGTCTCAAAACAAAAACAAAGCAAATCCCAGGTCGGGCGCAGTGACTCACTCCTGTAATCTCAGCACTTTGGGAAGCTGAGGTGAGCAGATCATCTGAGGTCCGGAGTTTAACACCAGGCTGGCCAATATGGTGAAACACCATCTCTACTAAAAATACAAAAAACAGGCCGGGCGCGGTGGCTCACACCTGTAATCCCAGCACTTTGAGAGGCCAAGGCAGGCGGACCGCGAGGTCAGAAGATCAAGACCATCCTGGCTAACATGGTGAAGTCCCGTCTCTACTAAAAATTTTTACAAAAAAAAAAAACTAAATGAGGCTGGCAGGGTGGCGGGTGCCTTGGTAGTTCCCAGCTACCCGGGAGGCTGAGTAGGAGTAATGGCTTGAGACCCAGGAAGTCGGAGGTTGCAGTGGCTTGAGATTCGCGCCACTGCCACTCCAGCCTGGGTGACAGGCAAGACTCCATCTCAAAAAAAAAAAAAATTAGCTGCTCATGGCGCATGGTATAATTCCCAAGCTACTTGGTAGGCTAGGCAGGAGGATCACTTGAACCCAGGAAGTGGAGGGTTGTGGTTGGATGTGTTGGTGTTTGAGAAGATCGGTCACTCACTCCAGGCCTGGGCGACGAGGCATGAGGACTCGTCAAAAAAAAAAAAAAAAAAATCCAGGCTGATTTTGCGGAATTTGGACAAACTGATCCTAATAATTCATATGAAAGCCAGGGACCCGAATAAGCCCAAACCATCTCTTTTTTTTTTTTTCTTTTGAGATGGAGTTTCGCTCTTGTCTCCTAGGCTGGAGTACAGTGGCATGATCTCAGTCCACTGTAATCTCTGCCTCCTGGGTTCATACAATTTTCCTACCTTAGCCTCCCGGGTAGCTGGGATTACAGACGCCTACCATCACGCCCAACTAATTTTTGCATTTTTAGTAGAGACGGATTTCACCAGGTTGGCCAGGCTGGTCTCGAACCCCTGATCTCAGGTGATCCTCCCACCTCAGCCTCCCAAAGTGCTGGGATTACAGGCATGAGCGGCCGTGCCCAGCCTGTATTGTATTTTCTAAAGTTTTTGCAATTGGTTTGTGTTACCTTAATAATTAGAATAAAGCAATTAAAGCAAAAAAGATTTTAAATGCTTGTAATGTTAGTGAGCATACAATTTTTGCTATGCTTCTTTAATTTAATATCATGTGGGGTTGGGCCTGTAATCCCAGCACTTTGAGAGGCCAAGGCGGATGGATCACGAGGTCAGGAGTTTGAGACCAGCCTGACAGATATGGTGAAACCCCATCTCTACTAAAAATACAAAAAAATTAGTTGGATGTGGTGACGTGCACCTGTAATCCCAGCAACTCGGGAGGCTGAGACAGGAGAATTGCTTGAGGCTGGGAGACAGAGGTTGCAGTGAGCCAAGATCGTACCACTGCACTCCAGCCTGGGTGACAGAGCAGACTCTATCTCAAAAAATATATATATATAAAATAATAATTTAGTATAATGTGAAGTCTTCTTACCTCTTCCTTGACTAGAGGAATTCAGTGAAAACAGCATCTTCTCCCTGGGCTGTAGGCAGGAAATGGAACCCCTAAGCTTTGCTTTGCAAGATGAGGAGACCTCAGGCTAAGGTGGGAATGGAAATAGTTTAGAAACAGAAAAAGAAGAGCAGTTTCTCAGATTGCCAAAGAAGGAGAATGTTGTCCTAAAAATAGATTAGAATGTGGTGGCTGGAGTCAGGCATTCTGAACTAAATTTTCAAGTCTTAGTATTCAGGAAGCTGTCAGACAAGGCAGACCAGAAGCCAATAGGATCAGGTTCCTGGAAACCAGCTGGTGAAGCTGGAAAGAAGAAGCCGACTATGGTTGCAGGGTAACCAGGGTCCGCACCTTCCAATACTGGGGCAGCAGTGAGTTCTGTCCCCAAACTGTTTGGG